CCACGGTCAAAAAAAAGAAGGTCCCTCGATTAAAAGATCAGGAGTTAAGGGCTTTGGGTCTGGCGTTCGGCAAGACACATACAAGTATATTGGGTTCTAGGACCAATCAACACTTGAGTGTCTTTTACGGTAGGGCTTATGCAGGTATGAGATGTTGTGGGTTCCGTTCTACGGCCGACTTTTTGCGAGTAGGGCTTCAGGTCAATTGTGGAAATGATTTGGAACCCAAACGAAGGAACGCTATGGACCGAAATTACTCCTATATTACCGTCATCAAAGCCTGGCCGCATGTTGTTACCCCGCAATCGGTTGGTGACCTCTAAGGGAAAGAAATCTCAGTGCAGTGACACCAGGAAGCTACTCGTGAGGTCTTCCAAAAACAGCTGGCTCTCGAGAGGTCTGCTGACTCGTCTGCTTATTCGGGCTTCGGAGTTAGTGTTTCCACTTTGGAGTTTGCGGAATCAGTTGAGGGCTTGCGGCTTAAGGCAGTTCAGAGGCTTTGGGATCTCTGCTTGCATTGTCGGACTGCTGAATGACAAGCAAGTACAGCCCTTGCTAGGCTGATTCCACGCTTGTTCTCTCTCCGCCGCTGTACTACTGCACTTCATGCGCGGAAAGTCGAGGAAAGACGCACAGATTACATAGGGAATCATGGGACTTGTGCTCTGGCGCTCGAACTGCTTCATGTAATCTATGAATTGTTACCTTTTGTGCTGGCTCAGATTAGCATTCAATTTTTTGAGGAACTCCCTGCTTGTGGAAGGCACTGCCGGTTATGCGCATCGGAGCTGCCAAGGGCGCAAAACACAGCACGTCATGCCTCTAAGCTCACACCCTAAGCCCTGCAAACCATTGCTGGGCACCAAGCAACATGTTGTAACCTCGCACCTTGATTAGGCCCAAACTCCCAACACTCTAAATCGAAGCTCAAGCCATCCAAGCCCTACGTAAGCCTACGACCTACTGAACCCCAGATTAACTTGCAGTCACAAGTTATCTCGCTCCCAAAAAAAACACAGCCCTGTAGTCCTGGCTAAAAAAACCCTAAACACCTGCGGTGTCTAAAGGTCTAAACCTCACCTGCTCTTGACCCGAAAAGAGAATGTGTGAGCTACCTGCACTCAGGCACTGGCTAAGGAACCTTCCATACAGACCGCTTGTCAAGGCATGAACCATTCAGCAAGTGGCTGATGGAGGACATGTGAGGACATGCCGGTAGGCTAGGATTACGTCGTAATCATTACGAGAGAACAGCAACCCAAGACCTAACAACCCAAAATCCAAAATCACATCTTCTGAGTTCTATGAAAGATCTCATCACTGTGCCTGAGACGAGCAAGCTACAAGAGCTAGCTCAAGGGTCAGAGACTCATCTAGCATTCGGAGCAGTAAGGAGCAGCTAAGCGGGAGACCTCCAAGCTCCCACCATGCTTTGGTCTATGAGTTGTAACTGTCGTAACTGCGCATCTTATACACTCATGTTTGGCCATATATCTTGAACCTTCAAAATCACGAAAGCCCGGGAAGTAGTACTCGCACCAACATGCATCCCACGCAGCGTTTTAATGTGTATGACTCCTAAGCTCACTGACCGCTAAACCATAAACTTGAAGACCGAAACTCAGACCCTAAAACCGTAAACTAATAGCCCAGGCCCAAGGCCTCAACCCGCAAGCCCTGGCCATGATCCACATAGTGTGAAGCCTATGTTGCTCTCCCAGGGCCCTGCCCTAAGCCTTACACCCCAAAGCCCCCTGATGAGCTCTGTGCTACTCGTCGAAAACCTTTCTCAAACCCTGCATCTTGCAAGCGTCTGTGCAGCGCTGAGCTCCGGAAATTCACGCGGCGGCAGTAAAGTGCGTGTGTTGGGGGAAAATGCTGTTCTGGTTTTGGAAGTTCCTTATGCTTGGGGGTCTGGGATTCGAATTTAGCGCTTCTGGCTTCTTCAAAAAATGGGTTTTCAGGGCGTTGTGCTTCCTGGTTACAATGGCTAGTGCTGCCAGTGCTCTCGTAACATCAACTGTATTCTTGAGACTTTCATACAGCACCTTTGCTGAGGAAATGATTTAGCTAACATGATTTGTCACTGTAACAGGTCCGGCAATTTCCGCCATTGTGCTTTCCACATCCTGCTCGCACTGCTCTACCTGCTACCACCACCGGACAGGAATGACATTCATGATGACCTTAACGACCACAACGAGGACTGCCAGGAAGAGCACGAAGAAAAGGGCCAGATAGATTTCAACTAGAGGAACCTGTTCAGTTGTGCCCATCGCTTACCTCGGTGCCACTCACCGTTGCTGTAGGGACTAGCATCCTGATGGTTACGCTTGCTATTGCTTGCGCATTGTTGCCTTTGGAGCGCAATGATCTGATTGTTTTCAGCGTCGGCCCTTCTTTCCGGGAACCTGGAACCCCTGAAATGGGATAGGCGTTTTGGCTTGAGGTTCTAGGTCTGACAGCAACATGTTTAGCGGAAACTCTGAATTTGTTGTTGTACACTCTTCCGATCACCACCATCATGCTTAGCACGGCGAAATTCATTTTAAATTTCCACAGAGATGAATGTTTTCTTGGCAATTCTACAGAGTTCTGCATCCAGGGCTTCTTGTGCCTAGAGCGAGTGCCACCTCTACCATATTGCTCATCTTCTCCACACTTCTAATATGCGCGGCGTTATATGTGCCAGAGCTCAACGTGAACATCTTAAGTTGGAGTATAATGGGTGGTTCATTCAAGGTTTCAAGTTTCAACGTTGTAGCTTAAAGCCAAGGCTAGAGATCCCACTAATTTCCCCCAGCGGCAGGCATTTTGCCGTACCCCGCCCCGTAACGAGGGGGGTTGGTGACTCATAGCTGCATGGCTTGGTTTGCCTCGGAGCTAGAATTTCGGGGACCCTTGGGCCACAAACATGTCCTGCTTGCAATGCTACCTCTAATCGCGCTGAACGCGCGCAATGTGACATACCATACCGGGGCCACCACCAGGTAAAAGTGGAAAAAGCATCCAAGCAGACATTGCTGCAAGGGCTCTAGCAGGATCTCACTCGACGGTCATCTCGACCTGGCCAAGACTACCCTTAGGACTCCGACTCCTAAGTGGGATTCTGTAGAAATTCATTCCGAAAACATAGGCGGCGGGCTTAGGTCTAGGGTCTAGGGCCTTTTCAGGCTTAAAATTAGGCTGCGGGAGTTTCTCTGATATGCTTTCGCTGATCTTTCTGATCCCGAAACCTTAAGCAGCAGAAGCACTGCCAATAATAGACTACACCT